GTGTACGTCTAAAATGCGACGTTTTATCAGGAGTACGGGTTGTAAAAAGAACATTAGATCACATGAAACTGCATTAGGCCTACTTGCATAGGCCGCAAAATATTTACTATTTTCACCAAACCACAATTTAGTTCAACTCTACCTCGGAAGCTTATTTATAAAATATTAAAACAAAATGGGTTCCAGAATTTACAAATACAAATTTACGGGTAAATCAACAGGTAATTTATGTTCCAGGCTCCAGTTTCCAGGATTTACATAACATTACCATACAAATTTTCAAAGTATAAAACTTGTATTAATTATACCGTTAAAATATAACCAAAAGAAGTTCACGATAAAGCAATCCGCTGAGAGAGGAAAAAATATGTACGCTCAAATGATTATGTCTCGAAATCATCAAATTTCCATATTTGTTGAACAAACAGCTTGAGTGAGAGGGAGGGAAGCACCAGTCAATTATCCCGCCGCGGTTCCATGTGGATATGTTCTGTGTGGATTTGTTCTGTGTGGATTTGTTCTGTGTGGATATGTTCTGTGTGGATATGTTCTGCTCCTGTACCTTTTCCTTCATAAGAAACCCGCGAGCCCATGTGGATATAATTATCCTTTACCTAAAAATCTGTACCTCTTGTACCCACCTGTGTAAAACATGAACTATGGGAAGGGAAAGCTCTCAGCCTGCTAACAGGAGTCAGCAGTCGTCTGCTCCTGTACCCACCTGTGTAAAAACATGAACTATGGGAAGGGAAAGCTCTCAGCCTGCTAACAGGAGTCAGCAGTCGTCTGCTCCTGTACCCACCTGTGTAAAAACATGAACTATGGGAAGGGAAAGCTCTCAGCCTGCTAACAGGAGCCAGCAGTCGTCTGCTCCTGTACCCACCTGTGTAAAAACATGAACTATGGGAAGGGAAAGCTCTCAGCCTGCTAACAGGAGTCAGCAGTCGTCTGCTCCTGTACCCACCTGTGCAAAAGCATGAACTATGGGAAGGGAAAGCTCTCAGCCTGCTAACAGGAGTCAGCAGTCGTCTGCTCCTGTACCCACCTGTGTAAAAACATGAACTATGGGAAGGGAAAGCTCTCAGTCTGCTAACAGGAGTCAGCAGTCGTCTGCTCCTGTACCCACCTGTGTAAAAACATGAACTATGGGAAGGGAAAGCTCTCTGCCTGCTAACAGGAGTCAGCAGTCGTCTGCTCCTGTACCCACCTGTGTAAAAACATGAACTATGGGAAGGGAAAGCTCTCAGCCTGCTAACAGGAGTCAGCAGTCGTCTGCTCCTGTACCCACCTGTGTAAAAACATGAACTATGGGAAGGGAAAGCTCTCAGCCTGCTAACAGGAGTCAGCAGTCGTCTGCTCCTGTACCCACCTGTGTAAAAACATGAACTATGGAAGGGAAAGCTCTCAGCCTGCTAACAGGAGTCAGCAGTCGTCTGCTCCTGTACCCACCTGTGTAAAAACATGAACTATGGGAAGGGAAAGCTCTCAGCCTGCTAACAGGAGTCAGCAGTCGTCTGCTCCTGTACCCACCTGTGTAAAAAACATGAACTATGGGAAGGGAAAGCTCTCAGTCTGCTAACAGGAGTCAGCAGTCGTCTGCTCCTGTACCCACCTGTGTAAAAACATGAACTATGGGAAGGGAAAGCCCTCTGCCTGCTAACAGGAGTCAGCAGTCGTCTGCTCCTGTACCCACCTGTGTAAAAACATGAACTATGGGAAGGGAAAGCTCTCAGCTGCTAACAGGAGTCAGCAGTCGTCTGCTCCTGTACCCACCTGTGTAAAACATGAACTATGGGAAGGGAAAGCTCTCAGCCTGCTAACAGGAGTCAGCAGTCGTCTGCTCCTGTACCCACCTGTGTAAAAACATGAACTATGGGAAGGGAAAGCTCTCAGCCTGCTAACAGGAGTCAGCAGTCGTCTGCTCCTGTACCCACCTGTGTAAAAACATGAACTATGGGAAGGGAAAGCTCTCAGCCTGCTAACAGGAGTCAGCAGTCGTCTGCTCCTGTACCCACCTGTGTAAAAACATGAACTCAATCAGAAATTGACATGCAAAGCCCATATTCTGACGGCAGATTTGCACTGTAAACACACCGCCAAGTATCCCACCTAGTGAACAATACCTAGGAGAAAATTTACAACAACACTGCAACTATGTACAAGCTGGTGATTAGGTGAATCACCTAATCTTAAGTGCACGACCCCAAACAAACCCAGCTAATCTAAGCCGAGGTGTATTAGTCGGAGAGAAAAGCGTACAAGATGAGACGCTTAAATTACCACTAAAGCGCATCAATTTGGACGCTTCGGTCGACTGCGTCCAAATGAGGTGCATGAAGAGCACAGGCGCGAGACTGAGCACTCTCTTGTGCTGTGCAGGTGCGAGACTGAGCACTCTCTTGTGGTGTGCAGGTGCGAGACTGAGCACTCTCTTGTGGTGTGCAGGTGCGAGACTGAGCACTCTTTTGTGGTGTGCAGGTGCGAGACTGAGCACTCTCTTGTGGTGTGCAGGTGCGAGATTGAGCACTCTCTTGTGCTGTGCAGGTGCGAGACTGAGCACTCTCTTGTGGTGTGCAGGTGCGAGACTGAGCACTCTCTTGTGCTGTGCAGGTGCGAGACTGAGCACTCTCTTGTGGTGTGCAGGTGCGAGACTGAGCACTCTCTTGTGGTGTGCAGGTGCGAGACTGAGCACTCTCTTGTGCTGTGCAGGTGCGAGACTGAGCACTCTCTTGTGGTGTGCAGGTGCGAGACTGAGCACTCTCTTGTGGTGTGCAGGTGCGAGACTGAGCACTCTCTTGTGCTGTGCAGGTGCGAGACTGAGCACTCTCTTGTGGTGTGCAGGTGCGAGACTGAGCACTCTCTTGTGGTGTGCAGGTGCGAGACTGAGCACTCTCTTGTGGTGTGCAGGTGCGAGACTGAGCACTCTCTTGTGGTGTGCAGGTGCGAGACTGAGCACTCTTGTGGTGTGCAGGTGCGAGACTGAGCACTCTCTTGTGCTGTGCAGGTGCGAGACTGAGCACTCTCTTGTGGTTTGCAGGTGCGAGACTGAGCACTCTTGTGGTGTGCAGGTGCGAGACTGAGCACTCTCTTGTGGTGTGCAGGTGCGAGACTGAGCACTCTTGTGGTGTGCAGGTGCGAGACTGAGCACTCTTGTGCTGTGCAGGTGCGAGACTGAGCACTCTCTTGTGCTGTGCAGGTGCGAGACTGAGCACTCTTGTGGTGTGCAGGTACGAGACTGAGCACTCTTGTGCTGTGCAGGTGCGAGACTGAGCACTCTCTTGTGCTGTGCAGGTGCGAGACTGAGCACTCTCTTGTGGTTTGCAGGTGCGAGACTGAGCACTCTTGTGGTGTGCAGGTGCGAGACTGAGCACTCTCTTGTGGTGTGCAGGTGCGAGACTGAGCACTCTCTTGTGGTGTGCAGGTGCGAGACTGAGCACTCTTGTGCTGTGCAGGTGCGAGACTGAGCACTCTTGTGGTGTGCAGGTGCGAGACTGAGCACTCTTGTGGTGTGCAGGTGCGAGACTGAGCACTCTTGTGGTGTGCAGGTGCGAGACTGAGCAGGTGCCGTGACTGAAGGCTCAGGTACGTCAGCAGTCTGCTAGGCTGGAGGGAAATACACTCAAGTTTAGCTATTCATTTTACAGATGAAAAGTGCAGCTGTAATTTACTCAAATGGCCAACTGTAATTAACTGTGATTTTTGGGGTTCCTAACACTAATGGCGACGCTCCCCTGGGTGCCCACTCACAGGGAGGAGGGAGGAGGAAGAGAGAATGAGAAAGAGAAAAAGAGAAAGAGAAATAGGGAGGGGGGGAGACAAATGAGAAAAATGTTTCTTTAATCCTGATGCCCCTGTTACCTAGCAGTAAAATAGGTACCTGGGTGTTAGTCAGATGTCACGGGCTGCTTCCTGGGGGTGGAGGCTTGGTCGAGGACCGGGCCGCGGGGACACTAAGCCTCGAAATCATCTCAAGATAACCTCAAGATGATAGAAGCACAAGAGCCTTCCAGCCGACCGTGAATGAACCGCCTCAACACTGAAGGATCAACACCACACAAACTAAGTAACATATCTTGAGGTTATCTTGAGATGATTTCGGGGCTTTAGTGTCCCCGCGGCCCGGTCCTCGACCAGGCCTTCACCCCCAGGAAGCAGCCCGTGACAGCTGACTAACACCCAGGTACCTATTTTACTGCTAGGTAACAGATGGGTCAAGTCTCCCCTGTACACACACATAACCTATGTGTGGTTCCCAAGATTTTTGACCATGCTAAATACATACACTATATACTGTAGGTGTAGACTACACCTACAGTAGTAGGTGTAGTCTTCACCTACTAGGTGTATCTAGTAGTCTACACCTGAAGGTGTATCTAGTAGTCTACACCTACTAGGTGTATCTAGTAGTCTACACCTGAAGGTGTATCTAGTAGTCTACACCTGTAGGTGTATCTAGTAGTCTACACCTGTAGGTGTATCTAGTAGTCTACACCTGTAGGTGTATCTAGTAGTCTACACCTGTAGGTGTATCTAGTAGTCTACACCTGTAGGTGTACTGTAGTACCCACAGTACACCAGAGGGGTGTACGAGGCCCCCCCACGCAGGCCTAACAACACTACAGCCTCCCTGGAGACAAACGATGGGCCACAAACCAGCCAGTAATATCCCCGCGCCATAACACCCTCCATGCCGCTCACCACCTACGCTAACAAGGTGCTTAGAATTCATCCCGTCACAGCGGCACTGTGTACAAAATATTACGTTCTACCGTCACTAGACTGATTAACTAGAGTGCCCCTTAGTGTCGCAGAGGAGCTGAGTATGGGGCGCAGCTGTATAAGGGGTGTACAGGGACGCAGCTTTATAAGGGGTGTACAGGGGCGCAGCTGTATAAGGGGTGTACAGGGGCGCAGCTTTATAAGGGGTGTACAGGGACGCAGCTGTATAAGGGGTGTACAGGGACGCAGCTGCATAAGGGGGTGTACAGGGGCGCAGCTGCATAAGGGGGTGTACAGGGACGCAGCTGTATAAGGGGTGTACAGGGGCGCAGCTGTATAAGGGGGTGTACAGGGGCGCAGCTTTATAAGGGGTGTACAGGGACGCAGCTGTATAAGGGGTGTACAGGGACGCAGCTTTATAAGGGGTGTACAGGGGCGCAGCTGTATAAGGGGTGTACAGGGACGCAGCTGTATAAGGGGTGTACAGGGACGCAGCTGTATAAGGGGTGTACAGGGGCGCAGCTGTATAAGGGGTGTACAGGGGCGCAGCTGTATAAGGGGGTGTACAGGGGCGCAGCTGTATAAGGGGGTGTACAGGGGCGCAGCTGTATAAGGGGTGTACAGGGGCGCAGCTGTATAAGGGGTGTACAGGGGCGCAGCTGCATAAGGGGGTGTACAGGGGCGCAGCTGCATAAGGGGTGTACAGGGGCGCAGCTGCATAAGGGGGTGTACAGGGGCGCAGCTGCATAAGGGGTGTACAGGGGCGCAGCTGCATAAGGGGTGTACAGGGACGCAGCTGCATAAGGGGTGTACAGGGACGCAGCTGCATAAGGGGGGTGTACAGGGGCGCAGCTGCATAAGGGGTGTACAGGGACGCAGCTGCATATGGGGGGTGTACAGGGGCGCAGCTGCATATGGGGGGTGTACAGGGGCGCAGCTGCATGAGGGGCGTGTACAGGGACGCAGCTGCATATGGGGTGTACAGGGACGCAGCTGCATAAGGGGTGTACAGGGGCGCAGCTGCATGAGGGGGGTGTACAGGGACGCAGCTGCATATGGGGTGTACAGGGACGCAGCTGCATGAGGGGTGTACAGGGACGCAGCTGCATGAGGGGTGTACTTGATTTATCAAGTTATATACTTGATAAAATACAGTAATTACGGTCCTCGGTGGTAGAGTGGCAGAGTATGGCAAGGCTTGCCACGCCTTGGTCGCGGGTTCGAGCCGCCCTCACAGCCCAAGTGGATTTTCTCAGAGTAAAGAGGTCGTAAGTGGCTACAGCTAACTTACATAACTACTAAACACTAGTATGTGTGTCCACAAGTACCGTGACTCACCATACACCATACACCACACTACACCCGATACACCATACTAACGCCCTCACACGTCATACTTCATCACCATACTCACTCACGCAAGAAAAGCTAATAATCGCCACCAAATGGCTAGGATTTTCGCCCGATTTGCACCCCCGTATGTTTCGGCGCTTGGCACTGTCTACACCTTGCGGCTCAACCCAGGAATCTCAAAAATTGGAAACCTGTTAACGGGCGATGATTGTGGCTGAGGGTGTTGGGGTGGGTGTAGGTGGGTGTTGGGGTGGGTGTGGGTGGGTGTTGTGGGTGTTGGGGTGGGTGTAGGTGGGTGTTGTGGGTGTTGGGGTGGGTGTTGTGGGTGTTGGGGTGGGTGTTGTGGGTGTTGGGGTGGGTGTTGTGGGTGTTGGGGTGGGTGTAGGTGGGTGTTGTGGGTGTTGGGGTGGGTGTAGGTGGGTGTTGTGGTTGTTGGGGTGGGTGTTGGGGTGGGTGTAGGTGGGTGTTGTGGGTGTTGGGGTGGGTGTTGTGGGTGTTGGGGTGGGTGTTGTGGGTGTTGGGGTGGGTGAAGGTGGGTGTTGTGGGTGTTGGGGTGGGTGTTGTGGGTGTTGGGGTGGGTGTTGTGGGTGTTGGGGTGGGTGTTGTGGGTGTTGGGGTGGGTGAAGGTGGGTGTTGTGGGTGTTGGGGTGGGTGTTGTGGGTGTTGGGGTGGGTGTTGTGGGTGTTGGGGTGGGTGTTGTGGGTGTTGGGGTGGGTGTTGTGGGTGTTGGGGTGGGTGTAGGTGGGTGTTGTGGGTGTTGGGGTGGGTGTTGTGGGTGTTGTGGGTGTTGGGGTGGGTGTAGGTGGGTGTTGTGGTTGTTGGGGTGGGTGTTGTGGTTGTTGGGGTGTGGTGTAGTAGGGTGTAGTTGTGGTACACCACACAACTGCCGTGTACAAAAGTGTTGTGGTACACCACACAACTGCCGTGTACAACAGTGTTGTGGTACACCACACAACTGCCGTGTACAACAGTGTTGCGGTACACCACACAACTGCCGTGTACAACAGTGTTGTGGTACACCACACAACTGCCGTGTACAACAGTGTTGTGGTACACCACACAACTGCCGTGTACAACAGTGTTGTGGTACACCACACAACTGCCGTGTACAACAGTGTTGTGGTACACCACACAACTGCCGTGTACAACAGTGTTGTGGTACACCACACAACTGCCGTGTACAACAGTGTTGTGGTACACCACACAACTGCCGTGTACAAAAAGAGGGTCAGTGTACGTGAGGACTTAATATTTAGGACGCGGTGTACAAGATACAGTATACAGAGGATGAGGTGTACAGTGTTCAGAGTGTACACTCGGGAGCCGGTCGGCCGAGCGGACAGCACACTGGACTTGTGATCCTGTGGTCCTGGGTTCGATCCCAGGTGCCGGCGAGAAACAATGGGCAGAGTTTCTTTCACCCTATGCCCCTGTTACCTAGCAGTAAAATAGGTACCTGGGTGTTAGTGAGCTGTCACGGGCTGCTTCCTGGGGGTGGAGGCCTGGTCGAGGACCGGGCCGCGGGGACACTAAAGCCCCGAAATCATCTCAAGATAACCTCAAGATACACTAGCATATATAGGTGCTACATGAACATTTCGTTCTAAGTAGCTATATCTAAAAGCAACATTGACAAGATTGTCACTTGCTTAGCTAAACGGACTCTGGGGTTCAGTCCCTGAGCCCATTATGTGTCTCTGTAACCCTTACCTTGAGGTTACCTTGAGGTACTTCCGGGGCTTAGTGTCCCCGCGGCCCGGTCGTCGACCAGGCCGCGTAGCCTCGTAGATAGCGCGCAGGACTGGTAATTCTGTGGCGCGGGTTCGATTCCCGCACGAGGCAGAAACAAATGGGCAAAGTTTCTTTCACCCTGAATGCCCCTGTTACCTAGCAGTAAATAGGTACCTGGGAGTTAGTCAGCTGTCACGGGCTGCTTCCTGGGGGGTGAAGGCCTGGTCGAGGACCGGGCCGCGGGGACACTAAAAAGCCCCGAAATCATCAAGATAACCTCAAGATAACCAGGCCTCCTGGTTGCTGGACTGATCAACCAACCCTTTCCACCACCGCCCGCGGCATGGGTATGGGGTGCATAATAAAGAAATTGAATTGGGAGTTATTTGATCGGTGGAGCGAGTCGCCTTCACTGCTCTAGTTGATTTTCTGGTAGATACCACTAGTAGGAACGTGATCCCCTACCGACACTAACCACAATATTGATTTTGAGAGTTACTATAAGAGGGGTTACCTACCTTACCTTGAGGTGCTTCCGGGGCTTAGCGTCCCCGCGGTCCGGTCGTCGACCAGGCCTCCTGGTTGCTGGACTGGTCAACCAGGCTGTTGGACGCGGCTGCTCGCAGCCTGACGTATGAGTCACAGCCTGGTTGATCAGGTATCCTTATACCTTATCCTTATCCAACAGGGGAAGGGA